CTTGGGAGGTAGATGCCCCTGAACCTCTGTGAGTTCCAAACCAGCCTGGATCACATAGTGAGTTCCAGGCAGCAAGAGCCAGTACTATATAGTGAGACCTTGTCTCAAAAAACCAAAACCAAACAAAACAAAAAAAGGAAAAAACAAAACAAAAAACCAAACTCTTCTCCTCACTAACCCCTCCCAGACTAAAAACTGTATATCCTTTTTGTCTGGAACAAAGAAGTCACTGGTTAAACTCTAAGGATATGTTATTTACTAATATTTCACCAAATATTTTAGTATGAAAGAGTTAAATTTTATTTGATCATTATAGAATGCAAGGTAGACTTTTATTCTACCATGTAAAAGTAAGATGAGCTGATTCAGAAGTTAGGTAGAATTTGTGTGTGTGTGTATCTGTGTGCTTGTGTGTGAGTACAAGTGGATGTCAGAGGTCAACCTCAGGAGCACTTACTCAGGAGCAGTCCACCCTGGTCCCCTCCCACCCCCGAGGACAGTGTCTCCTTGCTTGGCTTGGAACTTGCCTGTTAGGCTAGGCTGGCTAGTGAGAGAACCCTGTCTCCACCTCCCCAGTTTTTTTGTTTTTTGTTTTAACATGGGTTTGGGGATCTAACTGAGGTCCTCAGGCTTGCAGGGCAAACATTTTATCATCTGAACTATTCCTCCAGCTCTTTTGTTTGTAGCCCAGGCTGTCCTTCAACTCAGGACCATTCTGTCTCAGTCTCCTAAATGGTATGATTATGGATAAGTACCACCATGCCTGGGTTTTCTCATTCAGTGAAAATTCACACAAATCCTGAGTAGGGGCTGGAGAGATGGCTCAGCAGTTAAGAACACTGGTTGTTCCCGTAGAAGATCCAGGTTCGAATCCCAGCCACCCACATGGCAACTAACAACTGTCCGTAACTCTAGTCTCAGGGGATCCAACAGCCTCTTCTTACCTCCGAGGGCATTGCATGATACGGATGCACTTACCTACAATCAGGCAATACATACATACACATAAAATTAAAAAAAAAAATGTTAAAAAATCCTGAGTTGAGCCAGGTGTGGTGGCACACCTTTAATTCTGGCACTTGGGAGGCAGAGGCTGGAGGATCTCTGAGTTCCAGGCCATTGGTCTACATAGTGAGTTCCAAGTCAGCTGGGGCTATAGGAGACCCTGTCTCAAAAAAAAAAAAAAAAAAAAATTCCTGGGTGTGGTGTGCTGTGATTTCAAGCACTGGGCAGGCAGACACAGGAGGACTGCCAGAATTTCAAAGCCTGTTTGTTCTACATAGCCAGTTCTAAGCCAGCCAGGGCTGCATAGGGAGATCCTATTTCGAACCAACCAACCAATCACTCCAGCCAGTCAATCCTGATAGATAAGGTATTAGATATTTCTGATTAAAACTTATTTTTGCCTTCAAGGTTAGTATTACACTTAGTATTAAGGTACTTTTAAAATCCTGTATTAATAGTGTTTTCTTTAGGCAGGTGTGGTTGTCCATGCTTATAATCCCACCACTTGGAGGGTAAACCAGGATGATCAGGTCTTGAGCTACATAGGGAGATCTTGTCTCATGTCTCACAAAACAGAACAAAGCAAAGGGGGAGGGAGGATTGATTCCTGTGGGGTCAGATTTTAAGTGTTTGCCCTTCTCTAGTAGGTCCGCCTCCATTCTTTTTCCTCTTTACTCTAATCTCGTTCTCTCTGGTAGGGTTCCTACTGCTGGCTACCCAGCCATTACCATCATAATACCATTTAAGGTAGCTCTGCTGGATCTATTTATTCTGAGTCCTACGATCTAGTTTCTCTTTTAGCCTCGCTTCCTAAATCAAGTTGACAACTCAGTTTATTTTTCTTTCTTTTATCTCAACAACTCCTGATTTAGATTGGTTAGGAGGATATAATGTAATCCTGCACCTCCTCTCCCCCCTTGGAATCGGTGTTTGCAAGGCTTCCTCCTTTCCTGGCTGAACGTGCTGAAGTCGGGCTGAGTACCTTGTAAAGGACTTCAGCCCCCACAGTTCTCTGTGTGCGCATGCCCTCTCATCTCACAGTTGTCAAAGTGCTTTTGCCAGAGCGGTCACATAATCAACCCGAAAGAAGAAAATAAATATTGTTCACTTTTAAGTTTTATCGATTTTTAAAAACTGGACATTCAAAGGTAATTGCTGCTAAGAATTTATTATTTGAATTTGGGTTGTTGCATGTAAAAGACGATCTATTGTGTGGGGGGGGAGGGGGAGGAGGTAGCTATTTCTCAGACTGCTGTATTAAGCAAAAACAACAAAACAAAACAAAAACCTCCAAATCAAATTATACAGGCAGTTAGTAAGGGATGCTGCATATTAACTTTGTAAATTTTTTCTTAATTACTGACTTACCTTTTAATAGATCTTATTTATTAAAAGGTGAGTCTTGACCTTGACAGTAAATTTATGCAGAGTAAAATTTGTATTTTTGAAGAGTATTGAGAGGAGAAATGAATGCTCTTGTTATAACATTTTAAGAATTTAATGATATATTATTAATTACAACCATTATAAAATATTGAGTCCAGGTGACTTTTTTGGCGTTTTTTTTTTTTTTTCTTGAGTATAGCATTCATTTTTTCCATCAAGAACATGTAGTTTAAACTAAAGACATTAACATAAAACATTGAATCCAAGCAATAAGAAAAGCTGGGTGAGACTAGGATTATAATCAAATGCATATTTCAGCCATGATGATATGGCTACTGTAAAGAAAATTCTAGCTCACTGGAAACACTCAAATTCCAGAAGTATAATGGTTTACTGCAGCATTGTTAACCGAAGTATGGAAATATCTCTCTGACCGTCTTCTTTGGCAGTGATGGGACTTTGTGCTGTCTGAATACAAGGTTCACTCGACTCTTTGGCTATATTTATACTATTCACAGTCATTGTTTGAGATAGAGGGAACTGAGGAACATAAAAGCGTCTCAAGTAGGCTTTATTGATAGTAGCTGGCAGTCCTCAGTGCATGTTGTATTGGGCTGGGTTTTTTCCAGGGGAGGGGGAAAGGCAATGATATGAGGAATAGAAAGGAAAGTTAGGTGGCCGTGAAGGGAAACATTGCCTTGAGCCCACTCTTTGGTTTGTGTATGAAACTTTGAAATGCAAGGCGGTATCTGGTAAGCATTTAATGATACTTTAATAAAACAACTGTTATTCCAATTTCTTGGTCTGGTATCTTTTGTGTAATAGTTAAGAGCCATGATACCTCCATTTTACAAGTTATTACCTCAAGAAAGTCCAGAGGCAGAGCCTCCATGTGCATCTGAATGCCCTTTCACAAATGTCCTGAGAAAGATGCTTCCCCAGTGTATGAGTTAACTGTATTAAATATATTACCCACTTTGTTGCAATTGTACTGAATCATCATCTAAAAATAATTATATATTTAGTCATATGCTCCTTTAACATTTCAAAATATTTGTTTTCAAGGTCTCAGCCCTGTAATATTGAAATATTTAAAGCAATTAACATTCTAAGAGACAAGCTAACTCAATGATAGCTACATGTATGGTAATCTCTTGGTTTTGAGTGATTACTATTTTCATCCTTGAATAAGCAAGTGGGCTGTATGACAGGTGAATATAGCCCTTCTCTGTGAAGTGGAAAATACCATACACTCCTTATAAGGCTAAATGAAGCAGGCATGGCGATGTACTATAATTACAATGTATGAGAATTGGGGACTTTGTACTCCTCTATTTTTAACAGTTGCTAGCATATGCTAATTCAGGGTCTTCAAACCATAGTCGTTCACTGCTAATACTAGTGATAAAAGAGTAGATTCTAAATTTGCCCAAGTCTTGTGACCAAGGCAGCAGGAGGATTCGAAAATGAAAATCTGGCAACCCCAGAATTATCTTGACTGTCTTAAATCTCAGATGCATTTTTTAAAGTCCCGCCCCCACTCCATTTCACAGACTCCCTCCCTCTGACCTCAAATCCAACCAAAAGCATTTCTCCATTCTGCAGAGAAATTCTCAGGCTCTTGTTGAGACCTGAAACACCCAGGAGTCAGGAGATCGCTTGAGCGGCAGAATTGGAGACGAGAAAATTGGAGGATCCACAGAAATACCAGTCCTTAGTAATAAGAAGCAAGCACTTCTGGTCTCAATAGGTTTTCACTGTTTTGTTTTGAGACAGGGTCTTATGTATGCCAGGCTGGCCTCGAACTGGCTAAGTAGTCGAGGCTGACCTTGGATTCTCGATTACTCTGCCTGCACCTCCTGAGTGCCAGGATTACGGGCATGCGCCACCACGCCCAGCGATTTTCACCTTTTTTAAAAACAGGGCTTTCTTTTATATTAAAACGTCTCCTAACAAAATGGAGTATTTGCCGCTACTGAGAGGCCGGAGAATGATTGTGCAGCTGAGTCCTTCTAACAAATGCCAGAGATTCCCTCCCTCGTGGTTCGCGGCAGCTAAATGAAACAATTATCCAAGGCAAGAAGGCAGTTTGCTAATCAAGAGGGCTAAGTCGGCTTTTTCTTAAAGTGCCGGAGCTGGAGAAGAGGAGAGAAAGGGTCGTGTGTGGTGTCTTTTTAACCTTGTTGAAGGACGCAGCACTATTTATTGACGTATGCAAATAGCTGGGGGAGGGTGGTGCTTGGGAAAAAACAGGAACCAGAATCAGTTTCTCATTGCAGGGTGAACGCTCTGAGTTCCGGTGAAGGGGAGAGAGACGTGGCGAAATTGCTGTCTTTCTGTCTTATAAGCACATCTCTCACTAATACAGAAAAGGAACCAAGACGTCAGAAAGGGTGAAGACGCTCTCACAGTATTTTTAGAGACCTTGCTCGAGCCTCCCCCCAGCCCCCAGCCCGACCTGATCTTCCAAATGGGAGATTATGGATTTGCATTGCAATTGGCTAGTGGAGGTGGCACTGGATTTTCGCGAGTAAAGCACCCACCCGCGTCAGTGAGAGGCATTAATGATCACACGGACAATAACGCATCTCTCTCTCTTCCCATTTCAGCTGCGCAAACCATGCAGGATGATTTACTGATGGACAAAAGCAAAACCCAGCCCCAGTCTCAGCAGCAGCGGCAGCAGCAGCAGCAACAGCTCCAGCCGGAGCCCGGCGCAGCCGAAGCCCCGTCCACGCCCCTCTCCTCCGAGACCCCCAAGCCCGAAGACAGCAGCGCAGTGCCGGCCCTCAGCCCCGCCTCGGCCCCGCCAGCCCCCAACGGCTCCGACAAGATGCAGATGGAGTCGCCGCTCCTGCCGGGTTTGGGTTTCCATCAGCCCCCTCAGCAGCCGCCGCCGCCACAGGAGCCGGCGGCGCCCGGAGCGTCGCTGTCGCCGTCCTTCGGCAGCACCTGGTCCACGGGCACAACGAACGCGGTGGAGGACAGCTTCTTCCAGGGGATCACTCCGGTCAACGGGACCATGCTCTTCCAGAACTTCCCGCACCACGTCAACCCGGTCTTCGGAGGCACCTTCTCGCCACAGCTCGGCCTGGCGCAGACCCAGCACCACCAGCAGCCGCCGCCCGCGCCGCAGCCGGCGCAGCCGGCGCAGCCCCCGCAGGCGCAGCCCCCGCAGCAGCGCCGCTCGCCCGCCAGCCCCAGCCAGGCCCCCTACGCGCAGAGGAGCGCCGCCGCCTACGGCCACCAGCCCATTATGACCAGCAAGCCGTCCTCGTCTTCGGCTGCTGCAGTCGCTGCTGCCGCGGCCGCCGCCTCCTCGGCCTCGTCCAGCTGGAACACGCACCAAAGCGTGAACGCCGCCTGGAGCGCACCGTCTAACCCGTGGGGCGGCCTGCAGGCGGGCCGGGACCCTCGGCGCGCGGTCGGCGTGGGCGTGGGAGTGGGCGTGGGGGTGCCCTCCCCACTTAACCCCATCTCGCCACTCAAAAAGCCCTTCTCCAGCAATGTGATCGCACCACCCAAGTTTCCCCGTGCGGCCCCGCTCACCTCCAAGTCCTGGATGGAGGATAACGCTTTCCGGACCGATAATGGTAACAATCTGTTGCCTTTTCAGGTAATGCCCCGTGCACTCTCACGCGTCTTCCTCCCGCCACGTTTCGCTCCCCTCTTCCCAGCCTTTTAATCGGTCCACCCGTGGTTATTTGAAAGGGACCCCAAACTTCAGCTCCCCCAAAACCCTCCGGTTCACTGGGGCTGTTCACTCACCTGGGGTTGGGGGGCGTACATTGTGGCTCTTTGGGGAACGTATTTATTCACCACCCTCTTGGGGTTAGAAAAGGGCCTCTTTCCTTGAGTTTATTTCCCACTGTGCCTGTGCTCTTCTTGATCTTCTTTGACAAAGCTGCAAGGTGCCGGCATAGTCGCGGGAGGAGTAGGCCGAGATGCCTGTCATTAAGTAGCTACACATTTCAGGTTATGCAATCCTAGGCTCTAGGTACCGCCCTAAGAAGCCATCCACACCCAAACCACTCTACCTTCACTCTTGGAGAGGTTCGCAGCCTTTGAGCCGTGCTGTTTCAGATAGTTGTATACACTCAGTTAAACTAATGTGAACACATGTGTTTATGTCTCACTAAGGTGCTGGAATCATTAATAACAATCAGCATATTGCCCCAGCCAGGAAAATCATGAGTGTGAGATTCCAGTAAACACCCTGAACTGTAGGGATTGAGGTGGAAAAATGGTAATTCTAGGGGAACCATTCCACATGGTACCTAAAAGGATTTAGGTTTTTCTTCCACAGGAAAGAGACAATAGGACACGACCTTCAGAGCCATATTGCAATGGAGTCTATTTGCTAGCTAGCACTGAAATATTTAAAGCTGCAGTGTCCTTCACCAGTTGGTTATTTAAGAAGACAATGCAGATCAATTACACCATTTGAAACTGGGCAAAGTGAAAGTCCTGCAACTTTAATGAAAAATGAGTCTTGTGCCTTGGTATTAAATACCAATGAAAAATCCAGGAAGTGCCCCAGACAAAAAGGTTGAATGGAGAGAGTGTCCTTATTTCTCTTCTTGTTTTCTGATGCAGTCCATAGCTACAGCAGGTAGCAGTGTCCTGGACATCTTGGATCAGAAGGGAATGCTGAAGATTTGTATTCACTGGGACCCTTGCTCTCTGATAAACACTCATCCTTCACCTGTGAATTGATTTGTCTGTCAGTCCAGGCTGAGTTAAAAGAGAGGCTGGGTGAGGTGGTGAATACCTGTAAGTCAGCACCAAGTTTGAGGATTGGGAGTTCCAGGCCAGCCTGGGTTACTTATTGAGATCCTGCCCTGCCTTTGAAAAAAGAAAGAAGGAAAGAGAAAGGGAAGAATGGAAGGGACTCCATTGAACTTTTCTGAAAGATGACAGAACTGACAGTTTTGCAGAGTAAGAGTCAGTAGAGTTGGAGCTGCCCTCTTGTTGGTTTCAGATGTGTGGGAGTGGGACCTGTCCATGATGGAGGAAATGGGATTATTGAGGACACTCTCAGGGCTTTAGCAAGGATTTTTTCTTGAAAGTTTAAGGAGGTCTAGCTAGGTGTGGTGGCGCAAGCCTGTAGTCCCAGCACTTGGGAGGCAGAGGTAGGTGGATCTCTCTGTAAGTTCAACGCCAGCCTGGTCTACATAGTGAGCTCCAGGCCAGCCCCCACTTAAAGAAAGCTTAAGGAGGTCTATGAAACCTCTAAACTGTGTGGGTTTTGTTTTGTTTTGTTTTTGGTGGTGCTGGGCAGGGTACCTGAACCTTGCTACTGTTAAGCAAGCTCCTGGAGAGCCACACTCCTAGTCCTGTAGGAGTTTTTAATGAGAGGCTCTTACCAAATTTTCAAAAGGATTCTTCAGAAATGGCAGATTTTTAATATTAAAGTACACATTTTTTTTTGAGACAGGGTCTACAGTTTTGGTTGGCCCCTAGAATGTACTGTGTGCTGAGAATGGCCTTGAACTCCTGATCCTGCTTCTACCTCCAAGTGCTGGGATTACAAGTGTGTGCTGGTGTGCCCACATCTTCTTTCTTTCCATTATTTTAAGTTTATTTTTTTTGGTCTTTTTTGAGACAGGGTTTCCCTGTAGCCCCTGCTGGCCTGGAACTCATTGTGTAGACCAGGCTGGCCTTGAACTCATAGAGATCCGCCTGCTTCTGTCTCCCAAGTGCTGGGATTAAAGGCGTGCGCCACCACGCCCAGCTTTCTAACTAAACCCACTTAGAAGAGAACCTAATTTTTTTTAATGTTTTAGATTTTTTAGTTCATTATTGTGGGTATAAGTATGTGTATGATATGTGTGTGAGCTCGAGTGCATGTGTATTTTGAGATCAGAAGACAACTTGTGGAGTCAGTTCTCTCCTATCTTTATGTAGGTTCTAGGGATCAAATGCAGATGGACAGGCTTGCAAGGCTTTTATGTCTTGCCAACTCCCCCAAATTATTTTTTAAATTTCTTTTGGGGGGTCTTTTTGAGATAGAGTCTCCCTGTAGCCCCTGACCCAGAACTCACTATGTAGTCTAGGATGACCTCAAACTCACAGAGGTCTGCCTGCTTCTTCCTCCCCAGTGCTGGGACTAAAGGCCTGTGCCACCACACCCGGCAAAACTGTGAGCCTTGAAAGAGTCTAAATCTTGACCTAGGTGGATCTGTGCATGAAAACACAGCCCCACATAAAGCTCAACAGTAAGTTAAAAGGCAGTTGAACCAAGATATATTTGCAATGTATACAATAAAGATTTATAGTCTCACTATGTAGTAAAAGCTGCACAAACACACATGTTTGTATCTACTCCCAGGGCCAAGAATAGTGCCCAGAACACACACACATACACATACACACACACACACACACACACACACACACACACACACACATTCATACATCATTTTACTAATCTTGAATATTGACTATTAATGTGGGAATTGTAAGTTGTTTCTCACCAAATCATTTACCAACGATGCTAGTAAGAGCCAAACATGATTGAGCTTTGCCATCTGCCACCTGAGTGTTGGGACTAAATGCATGCACCACCATGCCCAGCTTCTTTGTTTTTCTAATAGGTGATAGTACTATTGAGTAGGCAAAAATAATCAGAAGAGCCAGGTGTTCATGCCTTTAATCTCATCACTTGAGAGGCAGAGGCAGGGAGATTTCTGTGAGTTCCAAGCCAGACTGGTCTACACAGCGAGTTCTAGTAGTCCTGGTCAGATTTCCTGGAGCTACATGTGGTTGTGAGCCACTGGACATGGGTGCTGGGAATTGAACTCTGGTCCTCTGGAAGAGCAGTAAGCACTCTTAACTAATGAGCCATTTGTCCAGCGCAACCTTTAGGTTTTGAAACCACATTATATCGAAGAGAACCTGGGCTGAGTGGTGCATAACTATATAATAACTTGAGTACTGGAATTCCAGACCAGCTTGGACAACATAGTGAAAGCCTGGTGGTGGTTGTTTTGGTCTTTTTGAGATGGGATCTCCCTGTAGCCTGAGCTGGCCCGGAACTCACTATGTAGACCAGGCTGGCTTTGAACTCACAGAGCTCTGCCTACCTCTGCCTCCTCAGTGCTGGGACTGAAGGCATGGTCCACCACACCCAGCTGAAACCCTGTTTCTTAAATGTTTTAGAACCTAGTAGCTCATTCCTGTAATCCTAGCACTCAGGAGGCTAAGGCAGGAGGATCACTATGAGTTCAAGGCAAACCTGGTCTACATAGTGAATTTGAGGCTAGCATGGGCTACAGAGTAAGCTCTGGTCTCAAAAAATAATAAAATAAGGCTGGGCAAGGTCTACATAGAGAGTTCCAGACCAGCTAGGGCTACAGGGAGACCCTGTCTCAAAAAGACCAAAAAAAAAAAAAAAAAAAAAAACCCAAACCAAAAAACCCAAAACAAAAGCCAATAAAACAAAACAAAAATATAACTAGAATGAAAAAATCAACTTGGTTGGACTTTGGCTTGTTGGTTTGTGTTGATAATTACATCAAGTATGTTTAAAAAAACAAAGTATCTGCCTGGCATGGTGGTACACGCCTTTAGTCCCAGCACTCCAGAGGCAGGCAGGCTGATCTCTGAGTTGGAGGCCAGCCTGGTCTTCATAGCAAATCCAGGTCAGCTGTGGCTACAAGGAGACCCTATCTCAAAAAGACCAAAGAGAAAACAACAACAAAGTATCTTGGGCTGGAGAGATGGCTCAGTGGTTAAGAGTACTGGCTGTTCTTGCAGAGGACCCAGATTAGATTCCCAGCACTCACAGGGTGGCTAACAACACTTACACACATGCAGGCAACACACTCATATGTATAAAATAAAAATAATAAAATATTAAGAAACAAAAACAGTATTTTAAAAGCCTGGCATGGTGGTGTACACCTTTAGTTCCGGTACTTGGGAGACAGAGGCAGGTAGATCTCATTGAGATGAGGCCAGCCTGGTCTACAGAGCCAGTTCCAGGCCAGCAGGGGCTGCAGGGATACCCTGTCTCAAGAAGACCAAACAACAAAAAACCTTAGGTCTTTTTTTTTAAAGGTTTATTTTTATTTTATGTGGATGTGAGTGTTTCTCATGTATGTATGTATGTATGTATGTATGTATGTATGTATGTATACCGTGTTGTTGCAGTGTTCATAGAGGGGAGAAGAGGGCATTAGAAATCTTGGAACCAGAGTTATAATTGTGAGCTGCCATGTGAGTGCTGGGACCCAAACCCAGGTCCTCTGCAAGAGCAGCCCGGGCTCTTAGCCACTGACCATCTATCCAGCCCATTTCTTGGGTCTTAATGGGCAGAATTTTGTTTTGGAGTTTATTTCAATGATTTTTCTAGGACTGGGTGTGTAGCTCAGTGGCATGCACAAAGTCTGAGGTGCTATTCTGAGTGTGCACACGTGTATGAACAGACATCTTTTCTTTTTTCTTTTTTGGTTTTTTGAGACAGTGTCTCTCTATGTGGTCTTTAGCTGACCTGGAACTTACTTATGTAGACCAGGCTGGCTTTAAATTCAGAAAGATCAGCCTGCTTTTGCCTCTGCCTCCTGAGTGCTGAGATTAAAGGCATGTACCACCACACCTGGCCATTATCATGTT